GCTCCACCCCATTATCCCCCCCCCTTAATTTCCTGATATACATCTGCAGTAGTGACACCATCCACAACACCCAACACTTTGCAGCCTGAGGTTCATTTAATTAATATTTAAAAATGCAGTTCCCACCTCACAGGATTGATGGTGTCTCCATGAGAGAGACAAACTGTTCAATGCTGTTTAGGGCAATAATCACTTTTCATTCTGAGAATAGGGGCACATGGCTGCATATTTTGTTGGTGCACTATGCTACAAGTCAGAAGGTTGTGGGTTCAATTCCCCATGAGGTCTTTGGATTTTTCAATTGACCTAATCCTTCCAGCCGCACTATGGCCATGGGGTTGACTCATCCTCTAACAAAAATTAGTACTAGGAATCTTCCTGGGGGTAAAGGGTGGCAGCAAATAATGCTGACCTCACTGCCATCTGTGAGCTAATTTTCTAGAAAATGTGGAAGCCTTGACATCTCACAACCCTTTGAGCTTCGACAGTCAGTTATAGGGATAAAGATTGCCTTTTTCTCTCATTCTGAGAACTACACAAGACACTCTGTAAGCAGATTGTAGAATTCTTTTAAGTTAAGATAGGTAGAGCATATACTTACATCAAAAACTCTGCATATTGCCTACCGTATATGTTGAAACCACATACAAGATTTCCTTAGGAGCAGTGTATTTGTGCAGTAAAAACTCCGTGATTTCAGTCCACATGCGAACTATACCGACCGAGCGACCATCGCTTGTCGGCGAAGTTTTAGTGCCAACTTTTTGCGGATAGAGGGTGTCATGTGGTCAGCGCAACGAATCCCCACGGCCGTTAATTTCGGTTTTCTATACCAGAGCCGCTATTTCCTTGAAATAGCTCCTCAGTTATCATCATTTCGAAAAAATAGCTGAGAAAAATCTTATATTATAAATTATTGATGACTTCAGATCATTGAGACTGAAAGAGGAAGGGGAAAACCTTATTCTTAAAAACATTATTGAATGGACATTCCACTGAATTTGTGTGTATCATATTGTCAAGTGTTTAATGACAGAACACAGAATGATTATTTTCTTAAACAGCTTTACCTGGTTGAAATATAAGGCAGAAAATAATATGTTTTCTTTGAGACAGGAACTGTATTTAAAGTAGTATTCAGATCATCTTCAGAGCATTTAAGTGTTGCTGGTGAGACTGGCTAAGTACACTCTGCACAGTACAATTAAATACTTGTTTAATGAATATCTATTCTTATAATAAACTGAGGTTATCAATAGTTGGGGTTTGTATAAAACTATATCAAAAACTGTTCTTCCTGTATGATAAAATTATTTCTTTGCATACATAATTAAAGAAATTGTGTTTACAGAAATAAATACAATTGCATAATCAGTAGCATGAAATTAATCAGTAACAATTTCTGGCAGAGAGAAAACATTGCAGTTTTGACTACAATTGCACTAAATTAATGCGAGTCCTGGAAAGTTGAAAGTTTCTTACACTATTATTTATTATTATTTGTTATTTACTAAATATGGGAAAATATTAAGTTGTTTATACTCCACTTCAGCTGGGATCAGAAAACTATCCACTGACCATGGGATTTCAATAAATGTGGGGACACTAAATCAGGATTTCCCTGTAATTTATTCATTTAAAAGTATTCACATTCTGTATTCTGTACAAAGTTAAAAACTGAATGAGGGTCCCTCTCTTTCATGGCCAAAACTATTTTCAGTATCATCCAGTTACTGGATTATTTGATTTTAATTTGTATCATAATTTAAGGAATCACTTTCAAAGCAGAGCTGCTACTAGAATGAGCTAATTACATTGAAAGTGTCTTAACAGTAATATTATTTATGGGATTCTTAACTTTTTAAAATGAAAATAACTTTAAAAATATAAAATATTGTGACATGTTGCGCAACGGAGAATCCCCCCCTACCAGCAGTGACGCGGCGGGTGAGTCAGCGCTCCGTCATCCTCCCTCTGCATGGTAACGTAATGCGCAACGCGCGATGACGTAAGACGGCGTGAGGTAACAGCGTTGCTACGTAACAGGCCGACACAGCCCCTATATAGGAGAGCTGCGCTCCCTGCGAGGAGAGTTGTTGTAATGTGGCCGTCGGCGAGTTCAGTAGTAGTCGAGTGAGTGTGTAATGTGGGGGCCTTAACGCATATGCCGGCATTCGCCCTTCTCCGCCGGCCATCGCTCGTTTCCCGATGGTTGGTCGTTTCTCCAGCTTGTTTCCCTGTTGTTTCTGGGTCGCCATTCTGATTTCTCTGGCGATTCCCGTTTATTTCTTGGAGGTCCTTCTTTTCGGTCCTGGTGCTGTCTATTGTCATCTCCTCGTTGGATGGGGGACGATCAGAACTTGGTGCTATCTCCGTGAGGCCTGGCTGCTACCAGTACCGCCTGCAGCTCTAACGCTTGTCAGAGGGCCTCGTTTACCGTCTTCTCCCCTCAAAGCAGCAGCTGGATCTTTATATCGGCATCTCATATTCCGTATACGAAGGCTTTTCCTGCCTCCCTTCCTATGTGGTCGGGAGGTAGATTGGGGTAGGCACAACGGGAAAGGAGTTCAATGGCCGTGGCAAAGTCTTGCAGGGATTCTCCAGGTCTCTGCGTCCTCGTTCTTAATTGGCAGTGGTAAGCAGCTGCAAAGTGTTGGTCCCTGAAGCGGTTCTCTAGAGCCTGAAGAGTTTCCTCGTAAGTGGTATTTGCCGGAATGCCAGGTAGAACTTCTGCCGCCCGGCCCTTCAGAGCGGTGATCAGGTATGTTGATTTTCCCTGTCCGACAATTGGTTGTGTTCTGCTACGGTCACGAATTGTCGCCGGAACAGGCTCCATGTTGAATTTCCGTTGAATGTCGGTGGCTGAGCTGTACTCGCGCTGACCGTGGGTGTGATTCCCTGCTCGGTCCTCGTCTGTACTACTTCCAACCGGACCTGGAAATCTCGTTCGGTTTCTTCAATTGCTGCACAAGTTTTCGTTAGTTCTTCCTGGATATTTCGTTTGTCGTGTTCAACGATGGCCAAAATGTTTTCAATTCTATGTTGGATTTTATCATCTAATTCTGTTCGCATAGATTGCATTATGGCCTTCAATTCTTCCTTCTCGGCCGCCGCCTTTTCTTGGTTGGCGTCTAATTTGGCCATTAAATCCTCTTTGTCTTTCTTCCTATTTGCCTCCATTCTGTCTTGCATCTGCACTCGGTCGGCATCTGCTTTTATTTGGTTGGCCTCCATTAAGGTCAGCAATTCTTTATGGCCGGTTTTCCTATCGGCCGTTACCTGTAGGTTGTTGAATAAACCAATTAACAATCTCTACGGCGTCTTCAGTAACGAGACACGTTACAACTGGTGTCAGAATTGGTTTACGAACTTGAACACGCCATAAACAAATTGTTGTGGATCCGGTACTTCTACGTTACCAGCTCCTCCTCTGCTTGAAGTCTTCTTTTCCATTTTGGAGGCGGTCGACACTTCCAGTGTCCAGTCCTTGTTTATGTCTTCCATGAGAAGTTCCTTATGTCGACATAACAGCCCTTGATGCGTTGTTTGCCCTTGCTGATGTCGTCATTCCTCCTGGTCTTCCAGCCGCTTGCTGGTACGGGACCGTGGCGCCAAGTCCTTTCTCGGGCATCCGAAGGTTCCCTGGGGAATTTCCTTCTTGAAGTCATTTCTCCAACGTCGTGCCACTGTCGTGCGACGGGATATCTTCCTGCAGATGGCAGCCAACTTTATCCGGGACGCATGATCTCCTCGGGTCCAAGATTTCCTGAAGATGTTCCTCCGACGCCATGCCACTGTTGCACGGGGGGACACCTTCCTGCAGTTTTCCTTCTGCCGTTCCTCTTTCGCACGGAGTCTCGTCGGAGTCTCGTCCCTCTGCAGGCTACGGCCAACTTCTTCTGGGGTCCAGAACTTTCCCGTGTCGGATTCTTCATATTTCGCTGATTTCGGTCCCTACGCCTTTTCTTCCTCTGAAATTCCTCTGAATTCCTTGAGAAGCATTTCCATCATCTGCTGTGAGAACATTTTGTACCGGATGCACAACAATTTGTATATGGCGTGTTCAAGTTCGTAAACCAATTCTGACACCAGTTGTAACGTGTCTCGTTACTGAAGATGCCGTAGAGATTGTTAATTGGTTTATTCAACAACCTACAAGTAACGGCTACAATTAATTATCACACAGTTGCGGGGTTTCCCACTTTATAACCCTATTTGCAATAATCTGTTAACACTGTTGCAGGGTTTCACAATTTATAACCCTATTCGCAAATCAGTTCACTCTATCTTCAGTAGACTACACATTTCACAGTACGGGAGCTATATAAGTGTTACTGTATCACACACTCCCAATCAATTCTCAGTTATCACACACTTTCACTCGTAACTCGCCGCTGGCTAGATTCCAACTCTACTCGCAGGCTGCTGCCTTGAGAACTGTTGATAACACACTCGCTCGACTACTACTGAACTCGCCAATGCCACATTACAACAACTCTCCTTGCAGGGAGCGCAGCTCTCTTATATAGGGGCTGTGTGGACCTGTTACGTAGCAACGCTGTTACCTCACGCCGCCTTACGTCACTGCGCATTGTGCGTTACGTTACTGTGCGGAGGGGCATGACGGAGCGCTGACTCACCCGCCGCGTCACTGCTGGTGGTGGTGGTGGGGGGGGTTCTCCATTGCGCAACATGTCACACTATTAACATAGATTATTTACTCAAAACAAATTTCTCTACTGGTAAAACCAGTGAAAGAGATCTAACTATCAGTACATTAGAATTAGAATAGAATAATTACAAAATAAACAAAGTTAACCTTCATGATTGCTATCTGTGATGTGAATATCATTTATAAATCTATTGTAATCCATCCTTTAGTGGTTTACTTTATGTTGTTTTCATTTTAATACTGTTATTTAACTTCATAATTACAATTTTATTTCAGTCACAACCCTGTGGACACATTATGTTTCTTATTACAAGTGTTCACACACACAAAATGTAAATACAGAGTTTATTTTTTCCGCATTTTTAAAAAAGTTTCAAACAGACAAATTAGGGTATGCTGTTTACACTCACAATCCATCCTATTTAAAATATCAAGAAAAGTCTCAAAATGTTATGTCAGAACTATGATTTTACTGACACGACAAGATACTCAACACATCATTCACGAACACTGTTACATGTTCAAATCATTGACACTATGTACATGTTATGTATGACTCATTCCAGTGTGTATGATACACTGAATAACGGAAATAATTTATTTCTCAGCATGTTATGTAATGGTCCCTCACTTATTATCCAATTCAGATTTACACAAGAGCCTCCAGTCTATAACTCCTGCTTCCATTCGCAAAATTTCAAAGCAAGCTGGAAACATTCGCTGGTTAATAAAATACAGACACTACATCCACACATCACTGAAGAGTTCAATCAATCTTGACAGCAGCGTAGATCTTACGGATGAAGGCATAGGCAGCGAAGAAGCCAATAGTACCCGTAAGAAGCCAGAATGTGAGAACCATGATGCCTGTGTAGCCAAAGTATAGCAATGTGGGAATAAACTCCGTGATCTCAAGTTTGGTGACAAAGTAGAAAACGGAGTATGCAAATACATATACAGCCGATCCTCCAGAAACGATGAAGCTGCGCCACCACCAGTGGTAGTCCTGAAATACTTTCCAACATTAAAGCGCTGTTCATTTGCTACAACTACACTAATCAATGTTTAATTAGTTACTCACAGTTTACTTAATAATGCTGTTAGTAATTCAGAGTATTTGGCATCTATTGGTACAATGATTAATGAACAGTGAATTAGAAAGGATATGGAAGGAAGCAGTCATGGTATAATTTGAGTTCCTATGAAGACATTTGCCTGGAAACACCATGGAAAACAAAACACCTCAGTTAAGATAACCAGTCTCCAGCCACAGAAAATAATGAAATTTCTTGGGCTGCTGAATAATTATCAGTTTTTTGAGGAATATTTTACACCATGGAGATAGTTTCTTAGGTTTTTATTATATATGTACAAACATATGGAGACCGGTAATGGGAATTCATACATTTTTTATAAAACATGCTCCAAAATCATTACAGCTAGTGTGAGAAAAATGAAAGGGCTGTAACCTAATTTATGGCTACAGACTACATAACTCAGATATCCACAGAAAAATTATACACTTACCTCTCCACATAACTGGAAATACACCATCACAATTGAAATTTGAGAGCAAGATATCACAAGAATGATAAACACAAGGAAAAGGAAACCGAACATGTAGTAAAACTGGTTTTCCCAAATTGCCGTAAAGATGAAAAAGAGTTCAATGAAGACTGCTCCGAATGGCAATACACCTGCCATCATGGTACTGAAAGGAGAACAGACAAACACGCTTGAAAACAATATGAAATATTGAAATGAGAGAGCACTCAGTAAGAAGAAAGTTAGCGGCCTCCGTAGTCTAGGGGTAATGTTCCCACCTCATGACTCAAGGTACGCGGGTTCAAACCCACCGGATGTCATGGAATTTTTAAGGGCGGAAAAATTCAGGGAACAAGTCCTCTGGGAGGGACTTTAAGCCATGAGTCCCGTGTCGTAGCTTTACGGCACGTAAAAGAACCTCATGTCTCAAGGAGACCTCTGAGCCAAATTGAAGGACATTTCCTGCCCAACAATAATCTCTAATGCCTCTAGTAGATGGGGGAAGCATCTAGATACCGCTGAGCCAGTAGAGGCCAAACTCGCTGGCTGAGTTGGCACTGATGGCACGCACCAGTACCAGTAGGGTATAGACACTGGTAGAATATCACAGGGAGATGTACAATAGATCAAACTGGTCGCGGTGCATGGGGAAACCCACCCCCTCCAATAATAATAATAAAGAACAAAGTTATGGCAGTACCTCACAAATATTTTAAATTATGGTCTTCTGGGATTTCATGTCATACTATGTGAACTTCAACAGTCCTACACTTCCAATGAATAACCAATAGGCTCGAATGTCGATAAAGTCAGTTAGTTTATTAAGATGTTGCTTATATGGTACATGTTCACATGTTTCAGTTGTAATGACCATCATCGTCATGTGATATCATGTCATTTGGGAGGCAGATACCAGTGTTTTGGAGGAACCTGCTGCCTTGTTCTTCAGGATAGCACAAATGTTGGTAACCATCTCACTCACTCACTCACTCACTCACTCATGGAGCTGAGCCCTTCTTGAGAAGCTGCCAATTATGCAGCTACTCAAGAACTTCCCAGCATTATATGGGACCCGAAGGCTCATCACCATATCCATAAGAGCCCTCCACTGGTCCCTATCCTCAGTGCTGGTAACCATCTACCAGACAAAACAGTGTCATAACCCAGAAGACTGCAGGAAGTTGAGAGCTCTAGCTAGGACACAAAGAAGGAAAGTTAAGATTTAAATAACAGCACTTGAAATCATACATGTCTGATGTCTGCATATATTTGAAAAGTAACAATGGTAGAGAATCTTGATAGGCTTTCTGTAACTTCATGAAACAAAGTCCTTCTTGAGTACTTAACATTAACTCAGCTAGTAAAGAAGCTCCCCTGACTTTTATGAAATCCAGGTTAATTTCCGTGTTCATAAGAGTTTGCTACTGCCTCATGTTAGGCCTGCATTTTAAAAATTCATCATATTGCAAAATGAATCTCAAATATGAGTACAATCTTACCTGAGAAGTGGGTTCATGTACCACAGCTGGTCTGGTACCTGGCGAGGAATCTGATTCGTTCTTACAGGATGCTGGAAAGGCTGTTTACGGAATCCAAAATAGTAACCCAGGTATACCAGAGGCAAGGAGATGCCAAACCACATGCAGAGTAGAGATAACATGGTTCCAAATGGCACGGCACCACTAGAATGCTTTCCCCAGATGAAGAAATTGAGAAAGATGCATGTTCCAAACACAAGAGCAGGGTACAGCGTTGCTGTCTGCAAACATAACAGTTTATAAAGCCAACCTTTAAAACTGTACCTGTCTTCACTTTGGACGTAGTGGTCTCTAGGTATGAAAACAGACTCTAATTCAGACAGTCAGAGTTCTGAGTATGAACACTATTCACTTCCGTGTGGAAACATCTCTCTTCCCAGACTCCTCCTCAGACCACTACCAAACATAAAACTTTGGAAATGTAAAGAACACCAATCCTTCAACATGGTTCTGAGTCCACGTCAAGCTGCAGGTCCCTACTGACTACTGCTCACTAACAGAATCTGGCCCTTGGGTGTCTGTAACTCAGAAACAGATTCTATGCCCCTCTTTCATTGCAACAGACCATATCTGTAGGCACCAGGAACCAACAAGGGTGCGTGGTAGCATAGGTGGTTGAGGCACTATGCTACAAGCTGGAAGGTCGCAGGTTCGAGTCCTGATGAGGTCATTGCATTTTTTTTTTTCAATTTACCTAATCCTTCCAGCAGCAGTATGGCCCTTGAGTCGACTCAGCCTCTAACAGAAATGAGTACCAGGAATCTTCCTGAGCGGGTGAAGGGCGGCCGGCATGTAAAGCTGACAACTTTACTGCCATCTGTGAGCCGAATGTCTAGAAAACGTGGGAGCCTCGACATCTCACAATCCTATGGGCCTTCACATGCTGTTACAGGGATAGTTTTACTTTTCACCTTTTACCAGGGACCAACAACCACCAACTTATCTTCACTTGGGCAATATGGCTTCTAAGCTGTGGCACTGGACATATCAGTCCTGTTATACATAATATACCTACTTGGTTAAAGTCAGCAAAGCGACTGTGGAATAACATTTACACAGTGAAATCTCCAAAAAGGAGAATGAAGAAAACCTTATGCCTAGGAGACTGAACACATAGCAAATGAAGATATTACACTCAAATATCTAGTCTTGAAAGACAGGATGCTGTCCACTCTGGTTAACATCAATGCAGACCTGTAACAATTTTTATATAACTCTTTATCATGAAGAAAGCAGTCTTCTGGGATCTGGCACCGTGTATATGTGGTGTTAACCGACGTTTCGGAGGAACGTATCGCCTCCATCTTCAGGGTAGAAGAAAAAATATAAGAAATCTGCGGAGAGNCTTTATCATCATCTACAGTGTCATCATTATCCTCTTTTCCAGTATTAAGCTTACTGACACCTGTTTTGGATTTTAAAAGAAGGAATCCTTTGGCCATTTCAGATATCTTCCTAGATTTCTTCCTAATTTTCACTGATATTTCAAGACTGTCTTTGGAATTCTGTCACAGATCATCCTGTTACCGTGTTCCTTCCAAATTTACACTGATTTATAAATTATGTTCTTCGTGAGATTTATAGTTCTGTTGTGATCTCTTCAGTTCTTCTATAGTCCAAAAAGATGCATCCCACACATTCCCTCTCATGAAAAGCATTTCTCCTGATATCACTATTTTTTCTTCAACTTTACAAACTTCTTTCATCAGTTCTTATTGCCCATGAGTCACACATACCCTCACCCATGGAGCTGAGTCCCTCTTAAAAAGCTGCCAGTTGTGCAGCTACTCAAGAATTTCCCAGCATTTTATGGAACCCGATGGTTCATCTCCATGTTCACGAGAGCATATACATTTCAAACTTTCACCAGCAGAAGGCATAGCATATTCTTAAGAGTTAAGAGATATATGTAAAAATCACAGGGTGACTGCTATGATAGAATAAGATGTTTATAAGACTGTGCTGCAGAGGGCCGGATGGGCACTGCCTAGGCCTTTTTTGTATTTACATATATTTAAAAAACGTTCAAGGAATTTCCCTGTGAATCACATAAATTCTGATTCATCAAATGAATGAAAATTAGCACTGATATGAGCAAATAACATTAAAATTATGCCACTATAAATTTATATGTCTGATGTAGGCACAGTAATAAGACATTCAAATGCCAACACAAGCAGTTAATATGAGCAAGATCCGGAAAGTAAAGATACAAGTCCAGTAAAAATGTGAAGGACTGTTTTCTTTTCCAGGAATGGCAGTGCTGCCATGTGAGGTAGGAACCATATGACAGGGCAGAGTTCACCAGCCACAGTCATGGAAACGTTGTCCTGGCATTGTATGTTTAAAATTGCCGTGTCGATTCAAAATCCAGCCAAATGTGAGGTTCGTGCAGTAATTCGATTTCTTCACGTGAAAGGAGAAACTGCTGCTGAAATTCATCGCCAACTTCTTTCTTTTTACAGTGAAGATGTTATGAACAGGCAAAACGTGGCAAAATGGTGTCATGAATTTTAAGCAGGAAGAAGTGGTGTTCATGATGAAATAAGGAGTGGAAGACCATCTGTTGTCACTGATGAACTCATTCAAAAAATTGATGAAACCATTTGTGCTGACAGACGTTTAACTATCGATCAACTTCATCAACAATGCCCAGAAGTGTCAAGAACTGTTCTCCATGTCTAAGAGAGCAGGTGGGAGATTTCTACAATGCCCAAATAATGAATGAATGTATAAAGGGAGGGCCTTCTCGGCCCTTGCACCGCAACCTACAGTGATCCATAGTGACTATGTTGAAAAGTAAATAAGGGTGTCTTGCAAAAGCGCTACAAGTGAATCCAAAAAAAAAAAAAAAAATCTTTACAAATATTTTCTGGACATTATATCTTTACTTCCCGGATATCCTTTGTAAGTATGAAAGCAGCAGTATTTGTTGGCAAATAGTCCTTGAAGGTAGAAGAACCTATTATGTTATCAGTGGCTAACAATTTAAAGTTAAATGTCTTATATCATATAAACATGGTAGTACTAACCAGAAAAGCTGCTCGTTTCCATTCTCGGCCCTTCATTGTCTTATAAAGTCGAGCAGAGAAGTACCCTGCGATGAGGCCCATAAAAACATATAGGAAAATAGCAGCTGTCATGAGAGCACCCCGTGAGGCTGGAGACAGCATTCCCAACATTGCAAAAACTGTAACATGATAATAAATATAATGGACTTGTACGGCCTGTATCAGCTTTTGTTTATACTGCTGGTTAAAAACTGTTGTGGGCGAATTTAAACACCATAACGAAAAATACAGAAATTATCCTATAGGGCTAAAAACAAATTTGTCTAGAAGCAAATACAGATGAAACTATATACACAGAGTGGTTCTAAATTACTGTCGGGGTTTCCGTGACCTATAATTTTCAAACCAGAAAAAATAAAACAGAACTGCTTATGGAATAGGAAAGTGTAACCCAGAAAGTTACAAAAAAAACTCCGTGTCTTTAGTCCGCAAACCGTCCAAGCGACCGCCACTTGTTGGCAAAGATAGTGCCAACTTTAGCGGATGGAGGATGTCACGTGTTCAGCGTAATGGATTCCCACAGCCGTTAATCTCAGTTTCCTAGACTGCAGCCACTAATTTTCCATTCAAGTAGCTCCTCAGTTATCCTCACGAGGCTGAGTGGACCCTTTTTCCAGACCCACTACTTCTCAGAAAATCTGGTAGCTCCAGGAATTGAACCCGGGACCTCTGGGTCTGTAGCCAGAAACTCTGACCACTAGACCACAGAGGCGGTTCTCAGAAAGTTACACCATTGCCAAATAAAATTTTGTGTATGTGTATAGGTATATGTAAACTTCGATGTATTAATTTATGGATTAGAAAGAGCAAGAGTAACAATTGTAATATATCTCTGAAAATGACCCTGGCACTTGCTTACAGATTAATGATACATACAAATAGTGATAAGTGCCATGAAGAAAATCTGAATGCCACTGCCAATAACAGCGGCAAAGACTCGCGAATATTTTGGTGGTCGAAAGACGTCTCCATGTACAAGCTTCCAGCCAGTTTCCTCAATAGCCTCATCTGGTCCTTCATCAGCATTGTAACGCGCAATGTCACGCCTCAGTGTCCGTACCATGATCATTGTCAAAATTCCTGTCACAAAAGTGTCACATCTTAGAAAACATAAGAAGCAACAAGTGCCGCAACACTGCGGCATAGAGGATTCACGTATATCAAGCACTATGCATACTCTTACCAGACAGAAAGAACACAACCACAAGAGAATTGATGATGGAGAACCAATGAATTTGAACATCACTCATGCCAAGGTAAATGTCCCAGCGACTGGCCCAACTGACTTCCGATTTTCTCCATTCCACAGAGTACGTGAAGAACAGACGTGTTCCCGACTGCTCATTGACTAGCTGCCGCTTCGGATGGTCAGGGAACGAACATGTGTCATCATCAGAAAATGTCAGCTGTGTATAATCAATGCTCATGGCTTCAACTTCAAATCCAACAACACGGTATGTCTCCCTGAACACAAACATAATATGAAGTAACATAAAGTAATGTAGAAACAATCTATTTCACTAGCATAAAACTTAATTCAAAATTCACAATTCACAATTTATTTGCATCCATAAACTGTTACACAAGGACAATTGGACAAGTCAGTTTAAGCCATCTAAAACACTACAACTCAACAACTCTTAAAAATGTACAAAATGATACACAAGACTAAGAACAATACAACTATTTTAGGATCATTGTCCCCACGCTGAAGCTAGCAACCACAAATGACAACCCCCAACAATCCAATATAAAGCAACGCATACATTTATACCATCTATATATATCCACACATCAGATCCAACCCAAGCCACCAAACTACTGTACATCGTTACTAAAAACTCCTGCAGAGAATAAAAATAACTTTGTAATAAATAACTCTCTAATTTATTTTTAAAAACTTTAAATTTTCCACCCTTTTTAATTCAGGGGGAAAGCTGTTATGTATTTTAATTCCCATAATAATTACATTTATTTTGCAATGAACAGTGTTACATACGAATCCTGTTTTCCTTTAGTGCTTCCTTTTGCGAATGTCAGAATAATTAGCTGTGCAGGTCCTGTTCTTTTTTAGAAAGCATAAGATCTCATATATATATATATATATAAAGTTACTGTTAAAATCTTAAATTCACCAAACAGACTTCTACATGACACCCTGTTTTTCACTCCTTTAATGAACCTTAGAAATATTTTTTTTAAGACTGCATAGCCAACAATTTCCACCATTCTTCAGAGTTTCAACTTCATTGTGTAACAGGTTTCAGAGTTTAGCTGCATTATGTGCTGAAACTTTTCCATGGATATTGCAGTCACGATACTCATGCAGAACAAGACAGCAGAAGGATACAAACCAACTTATGCGTCTCACACGACAGTAATGAACCTTCAGGTTAAATAAAGGGCAGAGAATTTCTTGAGTAGCTAAGTGACTAAGTTTCTCAAGAAAGACACTGCTCCTTGGTGTTCATTAAATTAAAATTTTAGTTATATGTATGCCCAGATGGTCATCATAAATTGTTCCCTTTCATGTTTAGTGCAATACTTACTCATTATGTGTGTGATAGAGCAAGACAAGTTTGAGATGATTGTTGATATAGATAGAACCACCATCCAGTCCACCTAACCGGTAACCATGTTCATACTGAATCTCGGATGTTTCAGGATTCACAATCTTTGTAGCACACGGAAGATTATCCACCAGTCTGGAAGAGAAAAGTACAGGAATATAAAGTATCCAGTCTCTACAAGCCTCGAAACATATTTGCGCTAAATTACTGAACCACATATATCAACATGGAGGAGCTGGAGCTGGGTAGCTCGGTCGGTATAGCAACTGGCTATGGGCTGGACGACCATGGCGTCTGAGATTAAGTCCCGAGAGGGTCAAGAATTTTCTCTTCTCTGCATCTTCCATATTGGTTCTGGGGTTCACCCAACCTCCTATCCAATGGGTAGTGGCGACTCTTTCCCCGGGGGGTAAAATGGCCGGGGCGTAAAGTGGCCAGGGCATAAAGCTGACCACTCACCTCCAACTAATGCCAAGATAAAAAAAAATGTGGATCTATACATCCACTCACCTATATGCCTTCATGTGGTATAGTGGTTGATTAGTTAAGAAATTGGACAAGTTTACCTTTAACCTTTACCACATATCTATATGTATATATGAACACACACACATGTATGACAGCCCAGGGAGGAGATGGTCTGCCCCTCCCCGGGATTTTTGGAAAAATAATCAAATTTGAAGAGAAGAAAATATATCAAACATTAATAATATAAATTAAAAGTAACAAAAAATTTCTTTTATTCTGAACACTTCAAGGTGATCTGCAAAATAATCTTATGTGGCTTGAATGTAAGCCTGCAAGCAAACTTACTCATTGCCTCCCCCTTGGAGGCCTGTGTGTGTGTGTGTGTGTGTGTACACATATAGAAAACTAATTTCTGAATTTTAAGCATGTTCTAATACTCACAGATGAACAAAATATTCATGCCTGATGCGACTGGCAACCTTCTGTGAATCTTCTTCATTCCAGTTAATAGGGTTCTTGGGTGAATGACAAAGCAGACGACAATTAACACTTTCTGCCATCTGAACTTCATATGGAGTGTTGACAATTCGATCTCCACGCAGTACCTCACCTGCAAGTCATTAACTGGTTATGTTGGTAAGATACTTTCCAAATAATCATAATTATAGCTTATATTTTATGATACTTGCCTAAATTTTCAGACTTGTAAATGAATGTTCTGTTCTTTGGTAGGCAGAAAGGTAGTGAGTAGTATTCATATGGAAGTTGTGTGTGGGTACTTGTCATTTTCACGGCTTTGACATCAATCCTAGTCCCATGTTTAAACTCAACAGGAGCCACTCCAGGTACGTAAAATGCTTCCCTGACTTCCACCCATATACAAATTATGAAAAGAAGCACCTTCCACCAGCGCCACACCTACAAAGCACATGAGCAACAACTTCTGTAACAATCAAGTAAAGCTATATGTATAATAACTTCAATTCTAGCGGTTCAGCTTCCTGACAAGGCCAGCATGTTGATAAAATCCATTCCTAATGTTATATTTTAGCGTCCTGTTGCACTGATTTAAGTCCATGATTTATTTAAACCGTCTTGCAGTGCATACACTCATTTATCTCCTTCTCTCCCTCGCACTACATGTTTCGGCATAATAATGCCATCTTCAGGTGCTTACTTATCCACGCTAAATTAGTTCATTGCATGCCTTGTTCTCATATTAAAATAACTAAAATATGTATCTATCATATACATTGTCAAACGTTAAAAATATTAAAATTGTTCAGGATACCACATCGCTACGTCGCACCTCACTACGCCAGTCACGCCCATTCTCCTCTGTTGGAGCACTCCTTCACTATCTTGTGTGTGTTGTGCTTGTGTTGTGTCTTGCTTCTGTGAGTGAGTGAGTTATAACTCACTCAAAACGAAGACAGAACACACACACATACCCAGGAGGCCCAACAGTATAACACACGCAGTCACAGGAGCA